CATTACTTAATGTTGTGTATTGATAGGAAATTTTAATAGAGTGATTCATTATTTTGGTGAATTTAAAATGTTTTGTGGTAAAATATTTTGTTTAGATGGAAAGTTTAGAAAGAAATTGAAATCTTAGTATATGAAGTTTTTGATTAAGTATAGAAAGAAATTGAAATTCTACACATTTATGAAATATTTTGATTAATTAAAATCTTCTTCTTTCAAGTTTTCTAAGCTCTGATGCGTGTACGTGAAAAATGAAAACCTAAAATCTGATCTGTTTTCTCTCTCTTAAAAACTTAACATCCCTTTAACCTTTTAGTAAAAATACTTTAACCATGATATTATCTTTTTCTTTTCCTCAAATATTAAAACTTTAATTAAATAATATATCTAATAAACATATTTCTTCCAATCCAAATAATTATAATAAAATACAATATTTAATAATTAACAAATATATAATATATCTATTTCTTCCAACACAGTTATAATTAGAATAAAATATGTAAATAATTACAATAAACACATAATTTTCTTCAAATACTTATTATAACAAAATATCATAAGAATACATAGTTCTCTAATAAATATTATACAAAATAATTTTTATAAATATTTATTATCTAATTAAAATATTCATAATTATTAGAAACCTTTAAAATATTCTATAAAACCCATTTAATTAATTTAAACAATTATTAGAAAATAATCCTAATAAATATAAAAATAAATAATAATTAAACTATTATATTAGTAAAAAATTTGGGATGTTACATTTTTCTCGACTATTATAGAATTTTTTACTCAAATAATACTATTTAAAAAAAAATAATTCGGGATGTTATACACAAGCTACTAAAGTCACTATTGTAGCAATTTTTTATTTATTATTACTAATATTTTAGCATGTACAATGTATAGCCAAAATATTTATTATATATAACTAAAATTTTAATAAATCATTCATACACACACACACACACACACACACACACACACATACACACACACACACACACACACATATATATATCAACATATATCATTCAATCATTTCATACATATATAAACTCATTAATATCATTCCTTTCTCCCTCTATTTGGCTTAACCAAACCAACATTAATATATTTATTAATAATTTATTTTAAAAATATTAAAATTTAATTCGTAAATAATTATGATAAATAAAAATTAAATTAAATTAAAAGTTAAAAAAAATTAAAAACCCTTTCATCGAAATTTTTTTTTCTTAAAACACTTTTATCCGAGATAAAAAAAATTGTATTTAATATATAGATGTTGATTTAAAAGTATAATAAGTGAAATATTGTACATGTAAATTAATGCCTTAACTTATCATTTATTATATTAATAACTCATCATTTATTAACATATTATTAAGTCATCAATTATTTATAAATTAATTCTTTCATTTTAAATATTTTTTTATTATTGGATTCTAGATAATAGTATTTTTTAAAGATTAAATTACACTCACACTTCCTATGCTTTTTTAAGATTGCATCCAATACCTCTTCATTATTTGGATCTATTGTGAGACCTCTTAAAAGTTGAAAAGATGTTACATTCTCATGCCTTGTGATTTTTTGAGATGGCACCCAATACTCCTCTAGTATTTGGATAAACAATTAAATCCATTAAAAGTTGAAAAAATGTTACATAAAATCGAACTGATTTTATGTTATAGAGGTTACAGACAATTAGCCAAGCTTTTTGGATCATTGATTCCAAAATTCAAGCCAGCAGCTTTCCTTAGTTTGGAAATCCAAAAACATAAACTTTCTTGAAATTGTATTTGTTTCAAAAGCCATTGATTTTAAGGAAGAAGGTGACGAGCATTTTTGAAAGAAAAAATTCATTAAAAATCATGTGCAAGTCACATAACATGAATATGTTAATATAACGACCCGCCTTAGGTCGTCACATCAACAAACAATTGAACGACACATAAGAATAATATATAATAAAGAAAAGAAAAAGCAAATGCCAGCTACACTAGAGTGTAAATATAAAATAACATATAAATTGTTTTCATCATATAAAAAAAATTTATAAAAGAGTCACCATCAGTAAGGTTATATAGTTATCCAAAAATAATATAATTACATCATGAAAGTATCAAAATAAGACACCCTAGGTGCTGGTCAAGCTCTAAGTCTAGCCACTTCTCAAAGCAACTACCCAAAAGACTCCTTGTCATCCTAAAGCCTCACACCTAATCTGCTCCCCCACATAGTGAGATCATCACAGTCCACATCATGGAAATATAAGGGTTAGCACGTATAAAACCAACCATAGTACAACATAATAAAATATCATTAAAACATATATTCATCAACAATTTTTATCTATACCAATGGATTGACAATATTATAACATGTTTATCTCCATGCCAATATAACTCAAATCCAAAATCCAATGTATACACATCTATGCCAATGCATACATATTCCATATCCAAACAAACGTCACATCGCTGTATAATCCCATGAAGTAGCCAACACATCCAAACCAAATGTTGGCCTCAACACATCCAAACCATGTTTTGAATTTGTGAACATGTCACCTGCCCATGTCACACACCTAACCTCTCATGGAAAATATACAGTTGGATTACATCGTCATGTAACCTTGGTGATCTTGGCCACTTCATCCATCGGTATGGCTCGGCCTTGCCCTCATACCGGTAGCAAATAGAATACTTAGAGGAATACTTCAGAATCCACCTAACATCTGAAGTGGTTCATTATATAATCTTTGAAAAAATTCCATATTGGAATCCTCACCATGGGATTCCCAAATTCCATATTTTTCCAAAGATTATACCCAAATCTCACCAAGAGATTTCCCAATCCATACCAAAACCTTACTCCTCTAAGTTCTATTAGCTTTCCAAACCAAACACACATAAGCACATTCCATAATTACATGCAATCTTTTCCACAACCATGCCACATTCCATACCAAGTATAAAACATCAAAGATGACATGATTCAACATTTAAAAGTTTCATAAAAATTCAATTATAAATGTTTTTCCTCAAATAGACCACACGCCCGGTGCATTCAAACCACGCCCGACACAAAACCCAAACAGAGACCTACAGAGGTCTCAGCGTCCGGCGCATTATCTTACGCCTGGCACAATTCCAAACAGAGACTCCCAATGAGTCTCCATGCCCAGCGTATTTATCCTACGCCCGGTGCAATTCTAGCCAAAGACTCTCAATGAGTCTCCACGCCTGGCGTGCTTAGATCACGCCCGGCGCCATATCAATAATTAAAACATAAGGCCAACGTCTGCTAGTATGCCCGACGTGGTTCTTTTCTCGTCCGGCGTGGTCCATCCAGGGACTTCCCACTTCAAATCGCGCCTGGCTCAACTAACCTTGCGCCCGGCGTGATTTGGCAATGGTGTTCCATAATGAGTTCATGCCCGGCGCCAAGAACTGCGCCCGACGCATTTACAACTAAAAACCCTCGAAACCTCAAAAAATTCTTCCCAACATGAATCCAATCCAAATTACACGAGTTCAAATCATTATAAAGCATAAATACTATCCAAAAACAAGATATTAAGCAATGAAATCAAGTCTTAAACACTAATTCGTGGAAATCATGGAGAAACCCCAACCACAACCCTTTTCTCTCAATCCATCCTTAATCAGGCATAACTCATGGAATCAATGTGATATTTCAAACCCAAACATACTAGATTAAGTCTTATAAGTACTACCCTTACCTTAGAAACTTCATAAATGCAAGATATGAACAAAACCCTCAAATCCCAACTCAAACTTTAATCCCCTTTCCAAGGCTTTAGAGGCTAAATCTCTTGAAATTCTAGTTGTGAAGATTGATCCTGGCTTGATAAGCTTCCCAAATGTGTCCTCAGCTTCCCTCCAGACCAGAGCCTCTCTCTCTACTTCCTCTCTCTAGAAACTGTCTCTACTTCCTCTCTATAGAAACTGTCTCTGTCTGACAAATAAGACCCTCTGGTCCTAAGTCCCTATATATAGCCATTTTCCAAAATTTCAAAATTTCACCCTTAGTACCTATTCACATCAAATATCATACTCCTTGCAGTATTTCAACTTCCTAAGCTCTAAAAGAACCTCAAATTCACTCAGAAAGACTATATTTATCTTATGTTCCTATCCTTCAATCTCCTACCCATCCTATTCCTTTCCATGCAATACTCACAACTCACCACCATATGAAATGCAACATGTATTAACATGTAAACAAACATCACATTCAGATACATATGCTTGGAATAATGAGTTGTGTGCCATAATACTTCACTTAACTAAGATGAGAAAGAAGGTGATCAGTCTTCTTCCCTCTTAGTACCAATTCAGTATAATGGTGTATAATGCATCATTCACCACATTCATGATACACACGCCTATATAAACACCTCAAAGCAATCATATCTCATCTCATACTACAAAATCACCTCTATGTCCAAACAACTAATCAAAACCACATAATTATACAACATGCACAAGGATAAGTACATTTCAAATCCACACTTCCACAATCCAATCCAATCCATATAAACAATGTACACATACATACATACGTATATATACATATATATATATATATACATAAAGTATATCTACTAAATGGCTCGATATTTCCATGGCGTTACAACTCTCCCTACAACAAAAATTTTCGTCCCCGAAAATTCACTTACTCAAAAAGAGATATGGGTATTGATCCTTCATCCTATCTTCCAACTCCCAAGTTGCTTCATTAGTAACCTTATCCCAAATAACCTTTACTAAGTTGATAGATTTACCCCGCAACTGTTTAACTTTCTTATCTACCACTGAAACTGGTTGTTTCTCAAAAATTAAATTCTCCTTAACTTGCACTGCCTTTGATTCTAAAACATGACTTGGATCATGAATATACTTCCTCAACTATGAAACATGGAACACATCATGCAGATTAGACAGGAATGGAGGTAATGCAATCTAATAAGCCACTGGTCCAATCCTCTTGAGAATTTGATACGACCCAATAAACTTAGGATTCAGCTTCTTAGCTTGAATAGCCCTTCCCACACCTGTAGTAAGAGTCACTTTCAAAAATATATGCTCTCCCTCTAAAAACTCCAAAGGTTTCCTCCTCTTGTCTGCATAAGACTTTTGCCGACTCTGAGCAGCTTTCATTCTTTCCTGAATTTGTTTCACTTTTTTGGTAGTCTGTAAGATGATCTCTGACCCCACTATCATTGATTCTCCCTCTTTAAACCAACATAGAGGTGTTCGACACTTCCTCCCATACAGAGCCTCAAATGGTGCCATCCTTATACTTGCATGAAAACTGTTATTATAAGTGAACTCGACCAAAGGCAACATTTCTTCCCAACTCCCTAGATGATCCAAAATATAAGCCCTCAACAAGTCCTCCAAAGATTGGATAGTCCTCTCAGAATGCCCATCAATTTGTCGGTGATAAGCAGAACTGAGTCTCATCTTAGTCCCTAACGCCTAGTGCAAACTCTACCAAAAACGGGAGGTAAAATGAGGATCCCTATCAAAAATGATACTGGAGGGCACACCGTGTAATCTAACTATCTCCTTAATATACAACTGAGTTAACTTTTCCAAGGACCACTTTACATTCATTGGAAGAAAATGAGCACACTTAGTTAATATATCCACAATTACCCAAATAGAATCACAATTCTTAGCAGACCTTGGCAAACCAACAACAAAATCCATGGCGATACTAACCCATTTCCATTCTGGCACTTCCATCATCTGTAACAAACCTCCTGGTTTTTTATGTTCTACTTTAGCTTTCTAACACACAATGCAAGATGCAACATACTCGGCTACCTCCCTCTTTATACCATTCCACCAAAACATTTTTTTCAAATCTTGATACATTTTTGTCATACCCGGATGTACACTCAACTTGCTCTTATGACCTTCCTCAAGTATCAACTTCTTCAACTCCTCAACTTGTGGAATACAAATTTTGCCCTTGTATCTCAAAACCCCATCCATATCTTGTTCAAAGTTCTTAGCTTTCTCAGAACCCAACAACTCTCTAATCTTATTCAAACCAACATCCTGAACTTGTTTTTGTTTCACCATCTCCAAGAAATTACTAGTAATGGTAGTCATACCACAACTAATAAAGTCTGGAGCAACCAAAATGTTAAGATTCATATCCCTGAATTTCTCTACCAACTCCATCTCTTTAATCATCATGTAAGACATATGAAGAGATTTTCTACTCAACGCATCTGCCACCACATTCTCTTTACCTGGATGGTACATTAGCTGAAAGTCACAATCGTTCAAAAATTCAATCCACCTCCTTTGCCTCATATTTAACTCTTTCTAATCAAACAAATATTTCAAACTTTTATGATCACTAAACACATCAAACTTTGCTCCATAGAGGTAATGCCTCCAAATCTTCAAAGCAAAAACCACCGCCACCAACTCCAGATCATGTGTAGGATAGTTTCGTTCATGAGTCTTCAACTGCCTAGATGCATAGCCCACAACCTGCCTATCTTGCGTAAGAACACATCCTAAACCTTGATGAGATGCATCACAATAAACCTCAAATGATTTATCGGGATCTGGCAGAATTAATACAAGAGATGACGTCAGCTTCTCCTTTAACTCTTGAAAACTCTTCTCACACTCCTCCGTTCATACGAAAGGATGATCCTTCCTGGTCAACTGTGTCAAAGGCATAACTATTTTAGAAAACCCTTCTATGAATCTCCTATAATAACCATCCAATCCCACAAATCCTCTGACTTCAGTAACTGACTTCGGGCACTCCCAACTCAAAACCGCTTCCACCTTAGAAGGGTCAACTGCAATTCCTTGTGCAGAAATCACATGACCTAAAAACTTAACTTCAGATAGCCAAAACTCACATTTTGAAAACTTTGCAAACAACTATTTCTCTTTCAATACCTACAAAACTATCCTCATATGTTCTCTATGTTCCTCCATAGATCCAGAATAAACCAATATGTCATCAATAAACACCACAACAAACTTATCCAGAAAGGGTTTGAAAATCATGTTCATATAATCCATGAAAATAGATGGAGCATTCGTCACTCCAAAAGGCATAACGACATACTCATAACGGTCATACCGAGTCCTGAAAGCAGTCTTTCGTATGTCCTCCTCCTTTACCCGAATCTGGTGATACCCAGACCTCAAATCAATATTGGAGAAAAAAGAAGCTCCCTTCAACTGATCCATCAAATCATCTATTCTTGGCAATGGATACTTATTCTTGATTGTCACTTTATTTAACTACCTGTAATCCACACATAACCTCACACCACCATCCTTCTTCTTGACCAATAACAGAGGTGCTCCCCATGGAGACACACCAGGTCTGATCATTTGTTTCTCCAAAAGTTCCTCAACCAGCATATTCAATTCAGAAAATTCTGCGGGTGCCATTCTATAAGGAGAAATGGACAATGGTCCCTCCCCTAGTATTAGATCAATACTAAACTCCAACTCTCGCTTTGGTGGTAACCCCGGAACATCATCCAGAAAAACCTCTAGGAAATCTCTAACAACATCAATACTATACAACAACTTTTCATTCTCTAAACTGATAAAAGATAGGATCATAAACCCAAGAGCTCCACCCTTCAACAGACCATCCACCTGTCCACTAGAAATAAATCTCTCCTGTTCAACAGTAGGAAAGATTAATCGCCTCTCTGAACAATCTATCAAAATCCTATTGGCAAAAAGTCAATCCATCCTTAGAATCACATCCAAATCTGATAAAGGTAAACAAAATAAATTCACTTTATAATAACGCCCTTCCACTTCCACTGGACATTTCAAAAAAACCTCAGAAGTCAAAATAGAACCTGAAGCTGGGGTAGAAACGACTAGATCCACACACAAAGAACTCACAACCAAATTTAACCTTGCCACACATTCATAAGAAATAAAAGAATGTGAAGCACCAGAATCAAATAAAATAGAAACATCATTACCATCAGCTTTACCCTTTCCCTTCACCAATTCAGATGACGTTTCAGCTTCAGCACCAGTTAGAGCAAAGACACGACTTGCTGCGGTAGGCCGATTCGCTTTCTGGTTCCCTCTAGCTTGAGTATTTCTTACATTGCAATCCTTAGCCATGTGACCCACCTTGCCACATTTAAAACATACATAATCCTTTATAGGACAATCCCTCATCATATGTGGGCCTCCACATCTGTAACATTTAAAACTCTGAATAGCTCCTGTAGTGGTAGTCCCCATTGGCTTCTTATTAGCATTCCCCTTCTGAAACGGAGGTGGTCTCTTTTGTGGATGTTTCCCCCTTCCAAATCCAGATGATCCCTCTAAACCCATTGCCGCTCTAGTTCCTCCTTCAAATCTTTCAACTATTTTTTCCTTTTCAACTAGAACTGGGAACTCCACAATTCTCATAGGAACAATAGTCTTTTTCAACTCATACCTTAAACCCTCACTAAACTTCCTACATCTCCAGGCTTCAGTGATAGCTTGAGAATAGTACCTAGCCAAGTGTTCAAACTTGACCACATACTCTTGTACTGACATATTCCCTTGTTGCAGTCTCAAAATCTCAGCTTCCTCAGCATACTTGGCACTATCTGGAAAATATTTCTCTAGGAACACCTTTTTGAAATTCTCCCAATTTACTGCTTCCCCTCTAGCCTCCATCATAGCCTGAGTACCCTTCCACCAGAAACTAGCCTCACCCACCAACATGTAAACAACATATACTAGCTTCCTCTCCTCAGGACAATGTATCACCATGAAGATTTTGTCCATCTCCTCAATCCACTGGTTAGAAACTTCAGGCCTGTCCACACCTATAAATTGAGGAGGATTCCCTTTTCTGAACTCTGACAAGCCCCTATACTCATCAGGTACCTTAGCCCTAGTTGCTTCACCTACAGTCCGGTTGGTCTCTATCTGAGCCAACAAAGTATTTTGTTGTCCAATAGCAGCAGCAATCAGCTCCATAGCTTGAGCAATCTGCCGCTTATCCACGCCTGAAGAAGGATTAGAATGGTTTCCCCTACCAACCATACTAATCAAGATAAAAGATCAAGGAACCCATGAGTTTACACTAAAACACATAAGTAATTCCTTTTCAAAATTCATTTCCTGACAACAGAAAACACAACAAGACAACTTCCCATAAACCCTAAAGAGACAATGATTATTGTTTAGGACCAGAATTATGTACTTGTAATAATTGTAAATCCATTAATATGTTATCCTCTGAACAAACTACAACTTTATTAGAAATAATTCAAAAATTAGAAGATGGTCCATTAAAAGATGAGTTTATTAGTCATTTAGATAAATTAGTTAAAAAAGATAAAAAATAACAAGAGGTAATTCAAGATATAGATTTAAAGGAAATATATAATAGATCTAGAAAACCTGGTCCAATAACAATAAAGGATCTACAAGAAGAAATAAAAATTTTAAAACAAGAAATACAAGAGTTAAAACAAAATGATATTGCCTTAGAATATAGAATTTTAGAACTAGAAGGTCTTGATAAACTTAAGTTACAAGAAAATTATAAACCAATAAATGAAGAAGCTTCAACCTCACATGAATTATTTAAATTTAATATTTGTTCATAAATGTCATTGTAAGATTAGGTTAATAATAGGACAATAAGAGTTTAATTTAATAGCCTTAATAGATTCAAGAGCTGATATTAATTGTTTGTAAGAAGGTTTAATACCCTCAAGATTCTATGAAAAAACCAAAGAAAAGGTAGTTAGTGCTAATAGTTCAAGAATGAAGATTAATTATAAACTTTCTTCAGCCAAGATATGCACTAATAAAATCTGTTATGAAACCTCTTTTGTATTAATAAAAGACATGAATATTCAATGTATTTTAGGAACTCCTTTTTTATCTTTATTATATCCTTTTAGCGTAACCACAAAAGGATTATGTATTGTCCGCACTGCGTAACCGAGCTTCGAGCTCGGCACAGCAACGCGAGACGACCTCGGGTACGTGCAACGCGACGTCAGCTCAATATTTAAGTGAATCATAACTGATTCCCGAGTGTAGACACCCAATTTCGTCCGGGGGGCACACAAACAACTCCTCCCCATCCTATTCCTTTCCATGCAATACTCACAACTCACCACCATATGAAATGCAACATGTATTAACATGTAAACAAACATCACATTCAGATACATATGCTTGGAATAATGAGTTGTGTGCCATAATACTTCACTTAACTAAGATGAGAAAGAAGGTGATCAGTCTTCTTCCCTCTTAGTACCAATTCAGTATAATGGTGTATAATGCATCATTCACCACATTCATGATACACACGCCTATATAAACACCTCAAAGCAATCATATCTCATCTCATACTACAAAATCACCTCTATGTCCAAACAACTAATCAAAACCACATAATTATACAACATGCACAAGGATAAGTACATTTCAAATCCACACTTCCACAATCCAATCCAATCCATATAAACAATGTACACATACATACATACGTATATATACATATATATATATATATACATAAAGTATATCTACTAAATGGCTCGATATTTCCATGGCGTTACAACTCTCCCTACAACAAAAATTTTCGTCCCCGAAAATTCACTTACTCAAAAAGAGATATGGGTATTGATCCTTCATCCTATCTTCCAACTCCCAAGTTGCTTCATTAGTAACCTTATCCCAAATAACCTTTACTAAGTTGATAGATTTACCCCGCAACTGTTTAACTTTCTTATCTACCACTGAAACTGGTTGTTTCTCAAAAATTAAATTCTCCTTAACTTGCACTGCCTTTGATTCTAAAACATGACTTGGATCATGAATATACTTCCTCAACTATGAAACATGGAACACATCATGCAGATTAGACAGGAATGGAGGTAATGCAATCTAATAAGCCACTGGTCCAATCCTCTTGAGAATTTGATACGACCCAATAAACTTAGGATTCAGCTTCTTAGCTTGAATAGCCCTTCCCACACCTGTAGTAAGAGTCACTTTCAAAAATATATGCTCTCCCTCTAAAAACTCCAAAGGTTTCCTCCTCTTGTCTGCATAAGACTTTTGCCGACTCTGAGCAGCTTTCATTCTTTCCTGAATTTGTTTCACTTTTTTGGTAGTCTGTAAGATGATCTCTGACCCCACTATCATTGATTCTCCCTCTTTAAACCAACATAGAGGTGTTCGACACTTCCTCCCATACAGAGCCTCAAATGGTGCCATCCTTATACTTGCATGAAAACTGTTATTATAAGTGAACTCGACCAAAGGCAACATTTCTTCCCAACTCCCTAGATGATCCAAAATATAAGCCCTCAACAAGTCCTCCAAAGATTGGATAGTCCTCTCAGAATGCCCATCAATTTGTCGGTGATAAGCAGAACTGAGTCTCATCTTAGTCCCTAACGCCTAGTGCAAACTCTACCAAAAACGGGAGGTAAAATGAGGATCCCTATCAAAAATGATACTGGAGGGCACACCGTGTAATCTAACTATCTCCTTAATATACAACTGAGTTAACTTTTCCAAGGACCACTTTACATTCATTGGAAGAAAATGAGCACACTTAGTTAATATATCCACAATTACCCAAATAGAATCACAATTCTTAGCAGACCTTGGCAAACCAACAACAAAATCCATGGCGATACTAACCCATTTCCATTCTGGCACTTCCATCATCTGTAACAAACCTCCTGGTTTTTTATGTTCTACTTTAGCTTTCTAACACACAATGCAAGATGCAACATACTCGGCTACCTCCCTCTTTATACCATTCCACCAAAACATTTTTTTCAAATCTTGATACATTTTTGTCATACCCGGATGTACACTCAACTTGCTCTTATGACCTTCCTCAAGTATCAACTTCTTCAACTCCTCAACTTGTGGAATACAAATTTTGCCCTTGTATCTCAAAACCCCATCCATATCTTGTTCAAAGTTCTTAGCTTTCTCAGAACCCAACAACTCTCTAATCTTATTCAAACCAACATCCTGAACTTGTTTTTGTTTCACCATCTCCAAGAAATTACTAGTAATGGTAGTCATACCGCAACTAATAAAGTCTGGAGCAACCAAAATGTTAAGATTCATATCCCTGAATTTCTCTACCAACTCCATCTCTTTAACCATCATGTAAGACATATGAAGAGATTTTCTACTCAACGCATCTGCCACCACATTCTCTTTACCTGGATGGTACATTAGCTGAAAGTCACAATCGTTCAAAAATTCAATCCACCTCCTTTGCCTCATATTTAACTCTTTCTAATCAAACAAATATTTCAAACTTTTATGATCACTAAACACATCAAACTTTGCTCCATAGAGGTAATGCCTCCAAATCTTCAAAGCAAAAACCACCGCCACCAACTCCAGATCATGTGTAGGATAGTTTCGTTCATGAGTCTTCAACTGCCTAGATGCATAGCCCACAACCTGCCTATCTTGCGTAAGAACACATCCTAAACCTTGATGAGATGCATCACAATAAACCTCAAATGATTTATCGGGATCTGGCAGAATTAATACAAGAGATGACGTCAGCTTCTCCTTTAACTCTTGAAAACTCTTCTCACACTCCTCCGTTCATACAAAAGGATGATCCTTCCTGGTCAACTGTGTCAAAGGCATAACTATTTTAGAAAACCCTTCTATGAATCTCCTATAATAACCATCCAATCCCACAAATCCTCTGACTTCAGTAACTGACTTCGGGCACTCCCAACTCAAAACCGCTTCCACCTTAGAAGGGTCAACTGCAATTCCTTGTGCAGAAATCACATGACCTAAAAACTTAACTTCAGATAGCCAAAACTCACATTTTGAAAACTTTGCAAACAACTATTTCTCTTTCAATACCTACAAAACTATCCTCATATGTTCTCTATGTTCCTCCATAGATCCAGAATAAACCAATATGTCATCAATAAACACCACAACAAACTTATCCAGAAAGGGTTTGAAAATCATGTTCATATAATCCATGAAAATAGATGGAGCATTCGTCACTCCAAAAGGCATAACGACATACTCATAACGGTCATACCGAGTCCTGAAAGCAGTCTTTCGTATGTCCTCCTCCTTTACCCGAATCTGGTGATACCCAGACCTCAAATCAATATTGGAGAAAAAAGAAGCTCCCTTCAACTGATCCATCAAATCATCTATTCTTGGCAATGGATACTTATTCTTGATTGTCACTTTATTTAACTACCTGTAATCCACACATAACCTCACACCACCATCCTTCTTCTTGACCAATAACAGAGGTGCTCCCCATGGAGACACACCAGGTCTGATCATTTGTTTCTCCAAAAGTTCCTCAACCAGCATATTCAATTCAGAAAATTCTGCGGGTGCCATTCTATAAGGAGAAATGGACAATGGTCCCTCCCCTAGTATTAGATCAATACTAAACTCCAACTCTCGCTTTGGTGGTAACCCCGGAACATCATCCAGAAAAACCTCTAGGAAATCTCTAACAACATCAATACTATACAACAACTTTTCATTCTCTAAACTGATAAAAGATAGGATCATAAACCCAAGAGCTCCACCCTTCAACAGACCATCCACCTGTCCACTAGAAATAAATCTCTCCTGTTCAACAGTAGGAAAGATTAATCGCCTCTCTGAACAATCTATCAAAATCCTATTGGCAAAAAGTCAATCCATCCTTAGAATCACATCCAAATCTGATAAAGGTAAACAAAATAAATTCACTTTATAATAACGCCCTTCCACTTCCACTGGACATTTCAAAAAAACCTCAGAAGTCAAAATAGAACCTGAAGCTGGGGTAGAAACGACTAGATCCACACACAAAGAACTCACAACCAAATTTAACCTTGCCACACATTCATAAGAAATAAAAGAATGTGAAGCACCAGAATCAAATAAAATAGAAACATCATTACCATCAGCTTTACCCTTTCCCTTCACCAATTCAGATGACGTTTCAGCTTCAGCACCAGTTAGAGCAAAGACACGACTTGCTGCGGTAGGCCGATTCGCTTTCTGGT